ACAAACAGCAACATCAGACTGAACACCCAGCACTGATCAAATCGTCTAGTCATAAGGAATCTCACGGGTTGGTTCCCTGAGTGCCTTAAAACCCAATCACCCTACTTACTTACTTACTGACGAAGCTTTTGTGTCAAAAGCGAAACGTTGCCCAACAGTAAATCCACCAATGGATTACCAAACCCCCCTGGAACACAACCTTATTTCTACAGCTCGCTTCGACCTTCTGTAGGTGAATAGTTTAAGAAACATGAGCGCTTTCTGAATTTTTTTCATTCTTAATGAATTTGTTACGTTTTCCGTTTGAAAAGATGACCCGGTTTTCAAATCTACACGAAGAGCTTCCTTGTGGTTCTAGGCTATCCAGAATCGCTTAATTCTGTTATGCTGCCCATAGCGACTTAACTCTCTGACTGACGTTGTCAAGCTTCGTATTTGCCTGCTGAAGAAGACCAGGCGATATATCCACCTTTCCCATATCACAATCAATCGCCTGTTGGAACGAGCGGCGTTTCGACCATAGCTCAGTGCTTACTCCTTTGGTGCTGTGCATCTAAGAGTAGATGGGTCAGGTCACCTGCGGGGTAATCTAGTGGTGCGTGTGTGCAACCAGAAGAACGCGCTTCATAAGATCGAAAAGCAGACGAGTAGAGATTAAACTGTTCAAGGCTGCGTCATTTTCACGAGCATGCATAAACTTTTTATAAACTATGCTGTGGCACTAACGAACTCATGACCAGAAAACTTAGCCAGCCAAATACCCCAAATTTCAAGTTTCAAATCACAAGACTAATGAAGCTGAGTGAAGCTAAATGACCATCAAAAATGCGACATGTTACCAATAAGTTCCGTTGTTTCGTCAGAAGACCATGTGCGCCGTAGTTCCTGTCGGAGTGTTTTTACGTGACATTCTGTTAACAAGACCTGACGAGCACTTTCAGATTCTCCAACTTGTACTGATTCGTCTCAGTCGTGGATGTTCACACTGGTTAAATGTTTTGAGAAAGCGAAAAATTCTGTTCTACGTTCAACGAAGCTGATTAAATCACCTGACTACATCAAAACTAGCATGTGATGCGCTTTTGGTTATGATGCCTAGATTGGTGAATTAATGGTATTGTCCCAGTCGAGTTACCGGTCAGTCTCTTCCGAAGCCAGTCATCCCAGCGAAGTTGAACCGCAACAGCTAGGAGTTCAGATCAACGGCCACTTCATGAACAACCAGTGTGTGTTCCCCATTTTTTGTGTACGTCTTCATCATCCTCATCATCATGCTGTCAAAAGTTCCTCTTCGCTTTCACCATCCACAGATCAACGCAGTACTGCTTTGCGTGCCAACATTCTGGATGCAATCAGTTTGTTGCTGCTCGCCCTGAATGCGGCCGATGAAACAGATCCACAGCTGATTCAGTTCCGCGACAATCTCCAAGCCCCCATCGTGACCTTGATATTGACGGCTGTGCAAGAGTGTGATGCATTCGGTACCGAGGCCCTTCTCGACCCGTGTCTTCGATTGTGGCTCAGTGCTGTCACTGGTGAGGGTGCTCGTTGGTCCCCGGCTTTGGAGTGTTTGATGCCCGCACTCGTTGGTTCTACAGGCGCCTTGAATTCCGGAGGTGACCACCCCAAATGCCGGCCATCGAAACATTTACTACACCGTGTTGATACCGCTGAACAAGCTGAGGTAGGTGCGTGCACAGTTCACTTCAAAGCTGCTATTTTCTTCCTTGTACGCGTGGGGTCTCCTCTCAAATCTCGCTGGAACTTGCCATTGACAGACATGTGGGCGTAGCAGTGGAGTTACTAAAAGATGCCCTCTTGTCAGAAAATATGTGAACAACTCAATTAAGGACTTGTGTAAGCCTTTTGGCGAACCGCACCAAATGTTTCCACGTATGCTAATCCAACCCCCCCCCCCGTAATAATCTCTTGGAAAAATTACCATTTTGGCTAACCCTGCAATGATTATGTTGGATTCCGCTATTCTAGACCGACCTGAGATGATGGCCTAAGTGGTTAGAGCGCGAATTTACTGACTGAAAGGTCTGTGGTTCGAACCCGACCTCTGCCTCTCGACTTCCCCTGTCTCCGGGCATAGGCAACCTGGCAGTATCCCAGCCCTCGTGCTCCCTTCGGGTAGCATGGCAGCTAGGCACCGGAGGGATGTTACAGCTGAACGATTTTTTTGGGATGAATGCTATAGACTTCTGTGAGTACACGAGGAATTCAGTCTTTGTCCCGTCGCGTGTTGCTGGGCAGTTGTATAAACTAAACTGTGGGAAACCTTCCTGAAATGACTATGCCCCTGAATAACAGCTTTCGTTCGACACCGTCGGTTCCATGACAGGAATCCCGTCAAGCAGGTGAGAGTTGGTGACGAAAATTGGCGGCTTCTTTCTCGTGAACCCCCATAATGATGTTTATCTCACGGCTGGCCCTTTTCTTGTCTATCTTATGAGGCTCACTTGTCCCTTTACCGTCGCATGAAACTGAACGACGCGGAGGGACCACTCGTAATGAATCATTCACGTATTTCGTACTGTCCCGGCGCCTACCTGATGAGCCCAAAGTGGAGAGAAACCGATCATGCGCTGACGAAGAGCTTTCAGCAACCTTATGAGTAGTGTCTTGCGTCCAAACCCAAATAGTCTTCGCCTTGCAATAGTTCAAGCCACATTTGGTGAGGCTCATAGTTTACGATCCGCAGAATGGACTATCTGTACATCAATCCAGTTGATGGATCGGTGTCTTACGCGTCTTTACTTTCAACAATGTTCTAATTTTCAGCTTGTGTTTCGCATCGCCGAGGGTTCCTTACTCCTTGTATGCAGCCATTCAGACCGTGATCAGGTGGTGAACTTCCTACATCGTTGGACTGAACCATTTTGGTGTGCAGTTCTGCAAGAAACCACAGGCATAGATGGCCAGGACTTGGAGTCTTTATACTCGACGGCTAATGCTCTCGGTGATGACGAAAGTCCGGATAACGAATCTCAGTGTCGGTAATTCTACGCTTCTTTTTTTGTACTTTTCAATGCGTGTTTCACCTGTCGTGGACGGGTGGATGTGAAAACCTATTGCCTAATGCCACTTGATTCAGTTTATTATACGGTTAGCTTATACTATATAGGGAAGCGAGCTTCTTTTAATGTTCGGTGCTCTCTTTAAATTCGACTGAGCACTGTTTTTCATATTGGGTTTTAAAGTTAGTTCACTCCAGAAGCGCAGTCTCCGTTCACATTCAGTCGGTTACCGCCTCCGCGTTCCCATCTAAAGCTGAACTTCGTGTTTGTTCGATGACGTCTGTGTGTATTCATCACAGAATGGGTTGTACAACGCCTGTAATTTCTGGTCTCTTACACTTGCACCTTTTCCATATAAATGAATGAACCGTGTTCTCGCCTTCATTTTGAAAGTTCTAGTGACTGAGTCAAACATAGGCAATTGTCCTTATTTCCTCAAAAAATTTTCTTCAATGCGAAATTTCACTTTCTGAAGTTGATTTCTAAGTTTCCAATGTGTAACCACTTTCCGTCGTCCGTAGTTGGGCAATTCCGACGCTTTTTTGAGCCAACACGGAGTTTTGGATACGTCATCAACCGCGAGGACCGAATGGTACCGGGAACGACGACGCGCAGTCAGAAGCCGAATTTTGACTACTCGACAATATTTAGTAGTACTTTTAAAACGTTTTTCACTGATGGCGTCACCCCTCCACAATGCGTGGAATTTCACTTCCCATGTGTAAACACTTTCCATCGTCCATAGTTGGGTAATTCCGACGCTTTCTTGAACCAACACGGAGTTTTCGATACGTCATCAACCGCGAGGACCGAATTGTACCGGGAACGACGACGCGCAGTCAGAAGCCGAATTTTGACTACTCGACAATATTTAGTAGTACTTTTAAAACGTTTTTCACTGATGGCGTCACCCCTCCACAATGCGTGGAATTTCAGGAAGAGGTGTTGTTTGTTGTCCGTTTCACCTGAAATATGCAACTGGGGCTGAAATGCCAGCATATAGCTGGTTTTAAGGCATCCGGATACTCCGATAATGTCAAAAGTTTGATATGGAGGTAGCCTTTTATCCTGTCTGCCTGACCTTTAACACTGAGGAGTTGTCCTTTGAGTGCTTTGAACGAGTGCATCTGTGAAAAAAGGTTTTACCAGGATGATCAAGTGCTTCCATTTTTTGACATGACTCCAGCATTTTGGACGTCTTTGGGAAAAGTTTGCTAACAATCGATAGATTTATTGCTGGGCAACGTTTTTCCTTTGACACAAAAGCTTCGTCAGGCCAAGTGACTAGGTTACAAGGTTGGTTGAGGTTTAAGGTGGGGGCCATGTCAAGCTAAGGTTCTTTTGGGTCTAAGCCGACGGAATTTTGTGTCTTAGGGTGGGGGACCAAGTGTTGGGCTGAACGGGAAACCTACATGGGTTTGTATCCAGCCTAGGGTCCACTTGATTATCTCTCTTGAGCGATGTTTCCACTTTCTGTCCGTCCACTCTACCCCCGTTTTGCTAATGATTCGCACGTCATTAATTCTTTTACCGATGACGTTTCGACAACGTCATATTTGACAAGGGCGGATTGGCCCAAACGGTTTGAGTGCCAACTTACTAACCAGAAGGTCCGTGCTCCGAACCCAACCTGTGCCTGTCGACGGCTTGGGATACCTGGCAGTATTCCAGCCCTCGTACTTCTTTCGGGTGGCATAGCAGCTAGGCACCGAAAGAGTGCTACAGCTGAACGATGGCTACTACTTGGGAAGGCCAAGGCAACTTTTGTCAAACTCTGACATCTACGGCGCCGACGTGACGTCAGTTTGTCTGTCAAGGGCAGAGTTTACACTGCGTCGGTGCGTTTTATACCTCTTTAGGGGTCAGAAACGGGGCCCTACAAGCAGAGAACATACAGAAGATGTTGGTGTTTGACCATCGGTAACATTGTTCAGGTCTGGTAGGAACATCGGATCGGCAATGTTGAGTTACGCCGTATGGTCTTAGGAGGAAGAAACTCCTCAACGAAAAGATGAATTACTCATGCTTCATAGGTTACGCTGGTTAGGACAAGAACTCCGCATACCAGAAGATCGTCTGCATCACCTAGGCTCTTTTTTTGGCCTAGACCTGTGCTGAGTGGGAGCGACCGAGAGATGTACGATGTATGACCTGGCAACGAGTTATGAAAATACTAACCAGCAAACTGAGTAGGGTCGACAACTGCCGCCTCCCCGTTTACGGACTCCAGGACTGAACTCATCAATGGCTAATGAAACTGGCAGAAATGGCCTAATCACATAGTCAATGGCGCTCGTGCATCAAAACTATCGCCTTCCAATGCATAGCCCTCCAATGTCTGAGCAAACTGAACATGTCATCGCTTGGCTGTATGCCCCACACTGCCGTTTTCCGGCTATTGGAACTGTAACAGCTGGAACCAATGCACCTATGGTACCCGGTTTATAGCTGATTAGCTTAATTGAAATCGAACACCTGTCCTAAGCGTGATTTGATAATAATCGTTCAGCTGTAACACCCTTTCGGTGCCCAGTTGCCGTGCCGCTCGAAGAAAGCACGAGGGCTAGGGTGCTGCCAGGGGAAGTCGAGATGCAATGGTCGGATTCGAACTACGGATTGCCCAGTTGCCCGCTCGAAGAAAGCACGAGGGCTAGGGTGCTGCCAGGGGAAGTCGAGATGCAATGGTCGGATTCGAACTACGGATCTTCCTTCCGGTAAAATCTCGCTCTGACCAATGAACCATCCCACGCATGAAGGAAAACCGTCTGTACTCTGATTCGTGAATGGAGTTCTATTGCTATCTGGCCTATGTATTTGGTTGGATATTCTGCACAGGGAATCTGTTAGACGCAGTTTATGCAGTGTCTCTTTTCGATAGCGTCTTTTACCCTTACAGGGTGTCGGGAGGATGTTTTACTATCATACTCCCAAAGTATCTTACGAATGGTATCTTTGATGTCATTTCTAAGGGTATTCCCACCTGGTTTTCGTTTCCCTGTCCCACTCTTTCGCATAGTGTTCTCCCCATTTGTTTGCGAATGAACCCTATGGGTGTTTATTTTTCTGTTATACCTTACTGAGTCGTTTCAGTTCATCTTTTAGTGTGTGAGATCATCCCAGAGTGTTTCAATGACTCGATTAGTCAACAATCCGACAGCTGCGCGTTCGAATTAGCTTGGATGCGAAGACCCATGATGCGAGTATCTGTCTGATTCTGTGGGGTTTTTTTTG